TAACAAGATTGTCATAATGGGAATGAATAATATGATGAATATTTTTGTTGAAATTGTTTCATTTTTCAGTTGATATGGATCAGTTGATGGAGGAATCGATGGAAATAGATTGAAATTCTTATAGAAATCTTTGGCTCTTTTCCAACCGGAGACAGATGGTTGATTAACAGTTGTTTCTCGAAGAAAAATAGATAAAATATTATTTCAGAATTCATTCTTTTATCGAAAATTTCATTTAATCAAAATATTTTTCGTTATTCCTTTACATCTAAGTTGTTAAAGGTAAATACTTTGATACAAAAGAAGAATTTAATATTCGATTGATTTTAGGTTGTGTGACTGGGAAGAGGAGAGGATATTTTCCTTCCGTAATCTTAGGTATCGATTTTCTCCTTGAGGGCTTTAAGAGCATCGTCCTTTTTACCTCTTACTAAGCACACCGAGTTGTATGTGTGCTGTAGTATGGGATTATCCACACACACATGACGTCATTACGTATTTTTCTTGCGCGTTGCTGGACTTTTCCTTTACGCACGTATATATATATATTCATGTTTTCTATATATGTGTGCCGGGTAGTTCTCTTTCTTTGGCATGTTCTCGTTTCTGTCTCTCTATCTCTTTATTCAAGAATAAAGATCTTTTCTAATTATATATTCTGAATATATACTTCCTTGACCTTCGCATAGCAAGACGTAACAGTATACAAACAAATCTACTGCATTTATTTCAACAAAATAATGGTACTCTTTGTCTAAAGTATGATTTTGTGGAGATCACATCGATTTTTCGTAGAAAAACTAGCGAATGCAAGTTGCAAGTCGGAATTTCATCGATACCTTTCTATCCTCGTGTAACAGAGGGATTTTTTAATACAGACAAAAACACTTATTTACTAGAAAAAGATGGTAGCCGAATGGTCCGTCATTTTCGAGTTTAGTGGTGAGGGTCAATTCACTTTGTAATTATTCTATCTTCATCCACATTCTCGTTCTCAAAACATGAATATATTAGTTTCAAAGGACTGCATCGATAAACTCTTCCTTCTGGTTTGAACTGCTTTCTATTTCAAATAGAAAAACGCTGTTCCTTGAAATTCGTTCTCTCGCTGAACAAATTCAAAAGAAATCTATGAGTAAATCGTCATATCATTATTTAATCTCTCAGCAGATCTTATCCAATGGATAGCGTGTAAGACAAAAGGAAAAAAAAGAGAAGTAGAATTTGAACCACTGACGCGGATCAGCTAGATGACGAGGGACAGCAAATTCTTTTTCCCGAAAAACGTTTTAGATGACAATAAACTTTCATTACCTCTTTCCGTTTTTCTGCATACTCGATACAAACGTGGAGATAAGTACGACGTTTTTCCATGGAAGTTCTTCGAGATTTTATATCGAGCCTACTATTAGATCCTAAACTCAATATTTTTTCTCTCTATTCTCCTTTATCCACTATTTTCTTATTTGTGTTCTGTTATATGAGTTGTATTCTGTTACTAATAATGAATCCATCAACATTCAATGAAGTGCAAACCAACGCTGTTCAATTCTAATCCTCATAGCTATCTCAACAATAAATATAATAATATAGGAACTGAGCCTTTCCAAAATAAAATCTTTTCAGTTCTCGTAAAATGAATTGCATTTCTCAACATCAGGTGCTATTAATTTCGATGAAATTGATATTAACTTTTCAGTCATCTTCTTTATTATTCTACCTCTTTTTGTCTGTTTCTTACCATTTTTTCGCTTTCGAATGAATTCCACAATCTTTGGTACACTAAATAGCAAGACAGTGACTATACCACCAACTAACCCAACTAATGTTGTAATGATAAAAATCACATCATTTCTTGATTGATAATTATAAGTACATCCTATTGGTTGACACTGATTATAATACTTTTCAAAGAATATTGTAGAATTCCATTGTTCGATCATTAGTTGATTGATAATTTCTTGAATTGATGAATTTTGAAAATAAATACTAGGAATGGTTGCATCGAGAGGTTTTATTTGAATTGATCGATTTGAATTATAATACGATTTTATTTGATTGAAACATGTTTCATTATAAAAGCATTGTAAATTTGATTGAAGAAGTGCATCTATAATATAACATCCAACATACATTCCTGGCACCAAGAATATTTTTTCGTCAGTATCATAATCATATATGAAAGCTGCCATCACACATGCTGTTGATTCATCACAGGAGCAATTGTCGTATATTCTAGTGTAAAACAACATTTTTTCATCTTTGAGATTGTATGATATTCGATAATTCGTCTGGTGTACAGAAAGTAGACTATTAATATTAGTTGTGTGCCGTATTTTTTGTAAATTAAATAAAAAATTATTTGTTGTTGATGTTTTGAATTGGTTGATTGTTGATTGAATTTCTGAGTACAGTATTTCCAAAGGTACCGTGGATACAGCAAAATATTGTTTTTGATAGAACTGAACTAAACCATTAGAAATTGTGTTGTTAATCAATCGACAAAATGATTTGAATGCTAAGAATCTTTGTGCAGCTGTTGCTCGAAAGTCTAAGGTATACATAATGTCGTTTACTTGTTCGTAATAATATAATAAATAACGAATCCATTCTCCAGATATTAAATCACTTTGACATATTTGATGAAGTGAATATTCTATATCAAGAATATTTCCATAATCTATCGAGATTTTTGTACATGGACATGATAATGTTTGAGAATATTTTGAATATAATTCGAAAT